TTTGCTTTGCTTAAAAAAAGAAGGAATTTCCACGCCTTTGAAAGGCTCCTGTCCCAATTCAGCATCTCCAGGGCAATGAAAGAGTTGAGCCGCAGACCAGAGGCTGGGAAGGCTGTGAGGGTGGTGGGGGGGGGTCTCTCTGCTTCCTGCTGAGTGGGGCTCAGGGGCCTGGGTCAGGCTGAGGGGCTCTGTGAGCACCTGGCTCTTGGAGAAACTGTCGACGGCCAGTGGGGAGCCCTGTGCTTGGGACCGGGTCTTGCTTTGTAGGCAGAACCCTGGGACGAGGCAAAGGAGATGACGGCTCAAAGTCCTTCTGGAGGGAGATTGCTGGGGCCTCCTTCCTTCCCCTCCCCCCAACCCCGATTTCCATGCCAGGGGGCCTGCTCCACATCTGGGGCTGGATGTGAGGTTTGGGGGTCAGACTTTCCCAGAGCCGCAATCCTGCCGGCTGCCCTCCCTTTGTCCAATCTCAACCTGTGCTCCTCTCAAGCTGGGAATTGAACAGAGACAAATTGGGGGTGTGTGTGGAGGGAAGGGGAGAACGGGGGTGCTATTCATTCATTTGTGCACTGAGAGGCCCTTGTGTGGTCTCTGGGGGCACAGAGATGAGTGTGACACTTTTAGGCCTCTTGATGTCTCTGCCAGGCATGAGGAGACAACCAGAAAAACCCTCAAGTAAGACTCAGGCCTCCGTGGGAGTTGGGAGGGTGGCTCTGTGCCAGGTACTGTCCTAAAAGTAGGTGAGATGGTGGCTCCAGGCTGGGAAGAGGGTCACCTTCCTGGAGGAAGGCCTTCTCTGCTGGGCCTAGAGGGTGACCAGAGGGTGACAGTGGAGTGGGTCACTTTGGGTCTCTTCCTGGCTCTTCCCTGGCACAAGCTCCCCTGTCCTTAGGGGTGACTCCCAGCTGCCCTGTGTCTCCCCGCCTCCAGGCCATGCTGATTGGTCCAGGGCTGGGGCCACCTGATCTGCTTGGGCCAATCAGAGTGAAATGGCACCAGTCAGCTTGGTTTAGATTCCAGCTCCTTGATTGATGGGTTGGGTGAGTGTGGGCAAGTCAGTACCTGCTCTTTGCCTCAGTTTCCCGATGTGAAATGAAGCCAAGTCCATCCACCATCTTGGGTTGTGGGAGGATCAGATGAGATAATACATGAAAAGCATTTGGCGCTGTGCCTGGTGCCCAGTAGATAATGGCACAGAGGCACTCAGGGAATTGAAGTTGTCCTGGGTCCCCGAGGGCACACTTTGTCCTGGTTCTGGGCCTTCTAGATGCCCAACTTACCTCTGTTCCTGGAGTTCATAATCCAACCTATGTTTTCATGACAAATTCTCCTTTTTGCTAGCTCAGTGGTGATGGTGGCAATGGGGTTCTGTTACTTGCAACAGCATCCCGCAGATGCTAACCCAGTTGCGGGGACAGGGATGTGCAGAGGTGGTGGGCCAGAGGATGGATTCTAAGGGCTGACGGGCAGGAACAAAGCTGAGCAAGCCTTAGCTCATGCCATTCACCTGGAGAACGGAGCACTAGAAGGGGCCGCGGCAGCCAGGCAGGAGGACGAACCAGGACCGGATGCTGAGTGTGGGGCTTGTACACAGTAGGTACTCAATAAGACTTAGCTTCCACTTCCCTGTGGCCTGGCCCCAGTAAGCCCTCCACCCCCCAGATCAGTCTTTCCTGTAAGGGGGGGTGTTGAACTAGATGATCTCCAGGACCCCTTCCAGCCCAGGAGATGGAATTCTTTGGGGCAAGTGATACACTTAGTATATACAATTCATAAAATATAGTAATATGCTCTAGGCTTATTCAGGCATCCCTGCACAGGCACCATCCCATTTAATCCTCATATTCTTGTCCTCATTTTGCAGATGAGAAAATTGAGGCTGGAGAGGTGAAGTCACCTGTGCAACACGAAGTGGTGGAGACATTTGAACCTGGGTGTTTCCAGCTCCAAATCCCTGGCATTTAATCAGCATCCTCATCTGTTTCTTTGTGACCTCTTTAAATGTTGATAATTTTGTTCCCTCCAACTAGTAACAAAAAACTGAAAAGGAAGAACTAGTCATTTCATTCAGAAAGGAGAGTGGGCAGGGGGGAAAGGGGCAGTAAAAAAGGTCTGTGTCAGAGGAAGGCTCTGCCAGAGCCGTTTCTCCCTAACTGAGAAAGTGTTTGGAAAATACTCCCCTTCTGCATAATGAAAGACAGTAGAAACTGGCTGATTCTAAGGGACCATGAGCTGATGCATATGCATGTGAACACTGATGCTCGAGCGTGTGTTATGTCTGCCTTCCCATTTGTTTTCTCTGGATGTGTCTGCTTTAAAATACATAATAAAATGCCTCCTTTGTGGTCTGTTTCTCATTTAAAGAAAAAAAAGAAAAGCCCAAGATTCAGAAACCCAGTATAGAACCCAAAGTATTTAACTCAGCAATTTCATTAAAAAATAATAAGGCACTTGGCCCCTTATCCGCCCGTCCTGGCCGGCTCTCTGTGTGCAGCCCCCCAGGCCCACGCTGCCCCCCTAAGGTCTTTTTACTCACCCCATAGAGCCTTCCTGGTCTGAACTCTCGAGCGGGTATTTGCTGTGTGGACACAGAAGGAAAGGGCCCTCCCTTTAGAGAACCCAATTATCTGACCTTTTGTATGGAAGACTCATCTGGAGAATTTTAATCATTCCAGCAGAATGTAAGATTCCCACGGCTCTCGGTTGATCTCTATGACTGCATGTGAATCTCCGTGATTATGCACTTTTATCCTCTCTTCTAGGTAAACAAAGACGTTCTCCCTGAGATGTTCATTGCTAGTTGTGGGCGGAGTGCCCTGCGGTCCTAGGGGAGGATGTTGTGTCTCCAGCCGAGATGGGTTCTGCATCTCACTTCAAGGGGATTAAACTGCTCACGTACCCTTGGTTCCGTCGGCCCTGTTAATGTTGCCTTGTATCATAATGATCTTGCTGGCTCAGCTCCTGGGCTGGCACCCTCTCCCTCCAGCAGCTTGCGTTGACCTGTCCATATTACCCCTTGCCACCCGGCCCCTCCCAGGGCACTTTCCCAGGCTGAATTAGCGGGTGTCTTGCTGGCCCCAGGGTAAGCAGGGGATGGGCCGTGGTCCAGGAAAGGGCTGGGTGGAGACAAGAGGTGTGGCAGGGAGGGGAAGGGAATAGTGAGTATTTTCAACAATAATCTGCGATCTTTCCTCCAGTTTCCCAGTGCTGACTCCGGCTTTAGGTCTGCCTGCCCCAGGGCCTCATCCTGGCCTCAGTCTCCCTCTGGCTTCCCTCAGCATTTTGGGAGCATCCCCTCTCGGCCCTCTTCCTGGCTGAGGTGGAACCATCTGTGACTCTACATCACTCTCCACCAGGGGCAGCCCAAACCTCACCACACGTCTCCTGACCCGATGCTCGTGGCTGTCCTCAGGGAGCTCACAGGACAGTTACCATGCAGGGCAGTCTGTGCCTTGATATGGATATTAGAGAAACAACAGCCTCACCGGGTGCCCCAGAGGAGCATGGAGGACTGAGTGAGGAGGAGGAGGCAGCCTTCTGCAGGACGCGATGCTGAATTGAGCTTGGAAGGGCGGATGGGAAATACCTGGCTGATGAAGGGAGGTGGGCGGAGGTCCATGTGGAAGAACAGAGTGTGGAAAGATCAGGAGGCACATGGCTGCACAATTGTGTATGCTAAGCAGTTCGACAGAAGGTGTCTGTCAAAGATCTAGGTGATCTAGGTGAGGCATGACACAGGCTGCTCTAACGCGGCGCTGGGGAGAAAGGAGTGGAAGGTGCACTGTACACTGGGGTGGACCCTGCGGGGCTTGGAGCCCGACAGTGGCAGCGCTGCAAGAAAATGCCTGAGCCATTGTAAACGCCTTTAATGAACAACAAGGGGCCTGTAAAACGAGCTTCCATTTGTCATTGCTTATGCCGTGGAAACTTTCCAGGATTTTTCTCCTCCACAGTTTCAATGATGCTTGAAAAACTGTTTTGCTTGTTGCAGATAATATGCACACTTCGAGTCATTTCTTTGTTTCCATATCGGTTCCATGCTAATATTCAATGCCTTTTTTATGACTCAAAGAATGTTTTTGATTCCTACCGTCCTCATGCCGCCTAGGTTCTGGAGAAGCAGAAAAACTTAGAGGCTTGAGATGGAAAAAGGCGCCAGAGTGCCCAGGCCCATGTCTGCTGACACGGCTTCCCCAGTCAGTGCATGGGGCTGTGTGGCCTCAGCTGTGCCCTGCCACATCCAGCGGAGTTTGATAGAGCCTGACCCCATAAGTTCCCCACCTCCCCCTACCCCACAGCTCAGCCCCCTACACTCAACACTCACGGGACAATTCCTTCACCTGCTGTCTCTATCCCACAGTTAGGTCTGTCATACTCGGGCTCCACTGACAGCTATGCTCTGCATAAGAGAAAGAAGAATCTGGAGTTCCTCATAGCAATTCAAGAGGTAGGGGTGAGGCAGAGGGAGGAAGGGTGGAGAGGAAGAGAGAAAACACTGAGATGTGGGGAAGATGAAAGAGCTTCTGGTGAAGAGACACAATTCCAGTGGCGGTGTGGCCAAAGAACCAGAATGTGATCCAAATGGAAATATGTATAGTTGCCATGGAACTGTCTGTGCAAATTTGTGTAAGCTAGCTGCTGTACAACAAAATCCAAACAAGCAGTGGTTCGACACAGGGCAGTTGACTCCTTGCTCACAGTACAGCCTGGGTGTCAGCTCTCCTCCACAAAGTGATGCAGGGACCCAGGGTCCTTCTGTCTTGTCTGCATCAGTCAGCCTGAAAGGAAAGGGCCTGGAGCATGTGGGAGGTTTTATAGCTCAGTCCTGGAAATGGCGTGCTCACTTTTATTTTTTTAACAAATTTATTGAGATATATTTCACATATCATAAAGTCTACCCATTTCAGGGGTACAATTCAACGATTTTCAGTAACTGTAGAACATTTTCATCCTCCCAATAAGATCCCTTGTGCCCTTTGACTGTTCCTACCCATAGGTAGTCACTAATCTACTTTGCGTCTCTGAAGATTTGCCTATTCTGGACATTTCATATAAAGAAAATCATACAATATGTGGTCTCTTGTGTCTGGCTTCTTTCACTGCGCATAATGTTTTTGAAGTTCATCCTGACATAGCATGGGTCGGTAGTTTTTCCTGTTTAATGCTGAAGAGTATTCTATCGTACGCATAGACTACGGCACATTCACTTCTGCTCTCCTTCCATTGGCTAGAACTCATCACATGGCCAAACCCAACTGCCAGGGAAGCTGGGAAATGTAGTTTATGTGCCCAGATGAAGGGAGCCTATTGTGGTGAACAGGTAGCAATCTGTGCCCAGGCACTCCCTCCCTGCATCCAATTACCCAGCAAAAATCTATAAACACACAAATGCCACACGTGTGTCTGTGGCGTGTATGTATGTGTGTGTCTGTAGAAACTGCAGAGTTCTGGTCTGAGTTGGCTTCATGAGCAATAGGCAGTATGGGAGGAGGTGGGACGGGGCACAAACCATAAGCTGAGGGCCAGAGGTGATCTTGAGGACATTAACGGAACTCCCTGCTCTCCCAGCACTGTGGAATTCTATAGACTTGGGAAGAAGTGTCAGTGCAGACCTTATCCAGCTCCTCAGAGGCAGAGAGACGTGTAGGTTACAATCGATGGAATCATTTCAAATGCTCTTGAGATGGCTCTTGAGACGGACCTTTGGGTGGGTGGTTCTAAAGACATCTCTTTTGTGCTTTCAGATTTCCCCGTCAGCAGCATGTTGTTGACTCTGCTCAGCCGTTGACGCATATGAATCAGCACAGCTCAGTCTGGAGGCATAATTTTTAGAAGAAAATTTGAACTCTCTTTGCATTCTTGGAACAGCCGTCAGGGGGGGAACTGTCTTCCAGAAAAAGCGTGGACTTTGAAGGAGAGGGAAAGAAATTGCGCTTCTGGGGTCTTCCATGAAGTTGACGCTGCTACCAGAAGTTCAAGGGGAGGAGCTGCTGGCGGTGCAGCGGGGAGTTATTTCAGGACACGTTTGCCTGGCTGCCTTTGAATCTCAGCAATGTTTTTCACTTAATATTTTAATCATTTGGCAGAAACGGGGAGGCTAATTCCTTCATGGACACAGTGAGCTTTCCAGGCCAGAGAATTCCATCACCTTGAAAAATAGGCCCAACTGCCCACGCCAGCTTGCCTAGCCGGCTTCTCTGGGATAGCTGAGGCCCCGCACCTGCTCTGCAGAACCCACGATCCGGCTCGGACACCTGAGAACAGCCGAGCATCTTAACGAGGGGAAGAAGTGCTGAGGCTCCTTCCCTTTGGAGGCAGAATGCTGGAAATGCAGCAGAGACTCTGTCTGTTTTCCAGGGGTTGGTGGGGGTTATCGAAAATTCTGCAAATAACCCTGAGAAGCCTTCCTCAGATCTGCTCTGTCCCATCCAGGAATTCTTGTCTATGTGGGGAGGCGCAGGAGGGAAAGACCGTAGGGACAGTGCTTTGCTGAGACCTTGCAGCCATTTCGTAGAAAACAACTCGATTTTCCCAGGTCCTGAAAAATGGCAGGGTGCCATGCTAGGCTTCCACACCTGGTTCAGGTGCCCTGACTTTAAAGACCTAGAGAGCAGAAATGGGGAGTTTGCGTCAGAGCTGGAAGTAAAACGTGGCAAAATCTAGTGCTTTAAGAACCCACAGAAGACCCTCTGTTTCCCCTCTAGAAGAAAGAGCAGGTGGGGAACCAATATTTAGGACGAGTCCGCTGTGTCCCAGGCACTGTTTTCAGCATGCTTCATACGTCCTCAGGTAAGCCCCATAACCCACTGGGTGTGCGCTATTATCATCCTCCTCTGGACTGAGGAAATCGAATTGAACACCTCCCTCAAGGTCACACAGCAGGCAAGAGAGAGTTGGGATTCGAACCCAGGTCAGCCTCACGCCCAAGCCTGGGATCTTTGCACAACATTGTGGACAAAGAGTTCCTGACATTTTAGCCTGGTAGGGCCGGCACATCCTGCCCAAGCCGTGGAGCGTTGCAGGCTGGCCCCACGGGGAAGCAGCAGCAGGTGACCAAGAGTACGGGCTCCTTTAGTTAGAATTCCACAAAGGACCAGCCCCAGCCTCAGCTCTAGAGACAGAAACACCTTCTAAGAGTCATTAACTGCACAGACTCCCCTACTCTGTGGGGCAGCAGGGGCTCTGTCCCCTCCGTCTGGGAAGAGGAGCAGGAGGGTGGAATCCCTCCAGGCCCAAGGCAGGCTGGGCAGGTCTGTCCAGGTGGATTCATCGCGTGGACAGCCCACTGTGGCCTTGGCCCTGGACCTCCACGCACAGGGGCTGTCAGCAATGTCTCGGCAACTTGGCTGCAGCCTGTTGGCACACACAGGGCCTGACTGTGCAGCCAGCAGTGATGCTTTTATGATCCTGTTTGTCATTTTTCAGACTTAACCTCATCACTCTGCACTTCGTGGACCTGAAATACAGCCCTCTTGAGGCCCAAGGGGCGGCCAGCCCTCCTGCAGCCTGCGGGCCACCTGAAGGTTTGCCTTTTGCTGATCACTCACATCTGAACAGCTGGCGAATCCTTCTGAGATGATGTCTGAGATGACAGGTCCCTGAAGGTCTCACACCCCGATGTTACTGTTGTTGTTGCTGCTGTCATTTCTCAACTTTCCAGGAACTTGTCCATTCAAATGCTTTACCGTGTTGCCCCTGGTAAAAAGATAATTTTTTAAAGGTTAAAATCATGAGTCTCAGAAAATATGAAACGAACACATGTCAAGTTTCTTTAACTCATCATTTAATGAGGAAACCAATAGTTATGCTACAACCAGTTCAAAGTGAAACTCAAAGAACACACATAGAGAGGCAAATGGGAACGCTGAACCGAATGTAGAAATAGATGCAAAACTGGTCAGTATCCCCAGGGCAATAGTCAGTGGGGTCTAACAGACAGAATTCACGTGCACTTGTTTGGACAGGAATGATTCACATTGCTCTAAGTTTTCTACAACTTACAGAGTTGTCAAATAGCTCGAAGACAATGAGGGCGCAGGCCACGTAGAGAATCAGATAACCCTGGAGGGGGGCACTAGACAGGACACCCAGTAATCTCGTCTGCCTATTTCAAATTCTGTCACAGTTTTTCCTGACACCCTCGTGAGCACATTTCCTGACACCCTCATGAGCATTTTTCCTGAGCACCCTCAGTACCCTCGTGTACGTCGTGAGCACCCCCTCCATGCACATTTACGCTCTGAGCCATCACGCCTACTGATTCTAGGTTTATATATTTTGGCTGCCTTCATCCCTATCTCCGATGAGGCTCAGAGAGGGTAAGTTGCCTGCCCAAGATAAATGACAAAATGAGGTCTTCTGGCTTTTGAGCTCTTTCCCCAAGCACCCTCAAAGGCAGAGGAGGTGCAGGCTATCTGGGGTCCAGCCTGCTGCAGGTGTGAAGGTCTTCATTTTAGCTCATGCGAATTTTACGTTTTATTCCCTCATTCGTCCATGTTGGGTTAACACAAAAACAATGTTTTTAAATCACTGACTATTATGGGTTGAATTGTGTCCTCCAGAAAGCTATGTTGAGGTCCTAACCCCTACTACTTCAGAATGTGACCTCACGTGAAATAGGGTTGTTGCAGACAGAATTAGTCAAATTTTGATGAGATCATACAGGAGTAAGGTGGGCCCCTAATTCAATATGACTGGTATCCTTCTAAGAAGAGGGGAAGAGACACAGACACACAGACACACGGGGAAGAATGCCATGTGACGACGGGGGCGGAGACTGGCGTGATGCAGCTGCAAGACGAGGAAGGCCAAGGATCGCCAGCACCACAGGCGCTGGAGGAGGCGAGGAAGGACCCTCCCCCAGAGCATTCAGGGGGTGTGGCCCTGCCTACACCTTAATTCTGAACTTAGAGGCTCCAGCACTATGAGAGAACACATTTCTGTTGTTTTCAGCCACCCAGTTTCTGGTACTTTGGACAGCCCTAGGAAATGAATACGCTCACTGTGGGGACAGCAGACGCTCCAGGAAGAAGGACCAGCTTGTCCTGCTCCTTTGAGGACCCCCCCAACCCGTGTTGTACCCACCAGCAGGGGACTCTCTGTCTAACCCACAGTCCTGGGGGAGGCGTGTGCTGATGCTCCCTGCCGCCTCCAAAAACTCAGTGTTGGCTTTAAATGCTGGAAGTTGAGAGGGAAAAGCTACTGACACACACAAACGCTTGTTAGGTGGATGCCGAGGCGTCCCCCGAGAACTTGGAAATGAGGGAAGGATGCTCACTGAGCGCTATTGTTAGAACCAACACCCACCGTGTTTAGATCAAAGATGTACACACTTGCTGGAAAGTGATTCCCAGGCTTGGAAACTCTTCTCCAGGCTGAATTCCTGGCAATCTCCGTGTACGTCAGGACGAGGGACTCATCCATCACGGCATGGGTATAAGAAGAGGCACCAAGCTGGCTGTGGGCAGCACCTCCCAGGGGAGAAGGAGGACTAGGCTGCAGACTTTGGGGCCTCCCTGCCCGATTGGTGGGGGCTTCGGCTTCCCAGCATGCGCTGGGCACAGGCAGCCTGTGACGGGGTCTGATCTGGAGGGTGAGGGCTGCAGGGAGCTTTGCTGTCAGGACATTATGAGGATTCTGGTTCTGGAGACAAGGCACCTCGACGATGGGATGGACCATTTAGCATTCCGTTTTTCTAAGCCCCCTTGTTCTGATTCCACAACCACCAAGCCCCGCAGCTGTGCCCTGCCAGCTCTGCCTGTGGCAGGAAAGGTGTGCCGGCCGGTCCTTCAGCCCCCTGGTCTCTCACAGGGTTCTCACGGAGAGCCTGTCACATGGCTCCTGGTCCTGAGCCTGGCTTCCCGTGTGGCCTTGATCATGCGCACTGTGCGCCTTTCCAGCCTCCGGGACAGGAATTCTCATGGCAAATTGAGGCACATTTACCTCCATCTCATTTTAGTGCCAGTTTGCATGAGTCTGTCTGTCTGGGCCTAATGAAAGTCACATCCCGACGGCCTCTTTGTAGATGGGGCTCTATACCACCTCAGACGCCTGTCCTCCGCCGCTTCTGCACTGGGCCCCAGGCCCAGCACTTTA